CTAAACTGGGCCAGTTGAAGGGCTAAACTGGGCCGGTTGAAGGGCTAAACTGGGCCGGTTGAAGGGCTAAACTGGGCCGGTTGAAGGGCTCAATTGGGGCTAAACTAGGCCAGTTGAAGGGCTCAATTGGTTTAGGAGATGAAGATTCGAATTTATATTGGACCAAACAGAACGGTTTCAACTTCTAAGATAATCTTAAATAATCTTTAATTTGCATAAATGTTCGTATTCGAATTTGTTAACGCTTGTAGAATATTTAAATAAAAAAAATCTGTGATATTTTTTTCAATATTTAGCTTGTGTTATATTCGATTCTTTGTCCATTTATCCAGATTTTCAGGGTCTGTCCCTATTTATATATTTGATTATTTATGAGGATTGATTGATTATTTGATTAATGATTGATAATGATTAATTTAATGATTTGATTGATTAATTTATGATCATTAAATTAATTATATTAATTTAATATAATTAATAATGCTTGCTTTTCTGCACAAACAAATTTTTATTTTGTGTAAAAAAACTCATATAATCAATTTATAATTAGTTCGATATCTTTAACAAAATTTTAACGCGGGCTGTGATAAACAGTGCTGCGAGTTGCGGGTTCGAATCAAGCGTGCTGTAATAATTCTAATGAAAATCAGTCAAGTGGCTAGAAACACCAAGATTACAGCCGTGAAATACGGGTTCGAATACCTATCTATCTCTATAAATCCTGTTTATCACTATTACTATAATCGAAATAAATGATGAATAATTGAAAATTTCCGAGTTAATTATTCAGAAAATATTGACTAAAAATTTTAATATTGATTATTGCTTTACGAATTTAAAAAAAGTGAATGAAAGTATAGGTTTTTTGGAACATATACGTAGCACTGATACGCCTTTTTGTCGGGCTAAACCGTGTCAGAATGACCCACTTAAGTGCATAGAAATTTAGACAATGCCCCACTTATTCCTCTCAGTGAGTAGCAATAATAATAATAATTAATTATTATTATTATTATTATTATTATACATAATTATCAATTATTAATAATAATTATTATTAGAAGGACGAATAAAACACAACGTAAATCGTTAAGAAATAATTTGTGTTGAATTAAAGTACGTACACAAGTTTAATATAAGATAATAATAATAATAATTATAATATATATATATATATATATTATATAATAATTAATAACTACATCATTATATATGAAATGATTCTAACGTCGCCTTCAAGCTTAACACAATATATCGTATATCTATAATATATAGATACATTTATATATTATAGATATATATGTAATATGTCTATAACACAAACTTGAAAACGGTTATGAGTTTACAACGAAAATATTTTAAATCATTCGAATTTATACACAGAGAAATAAGAGGGATTGTGTCACAACATTCATTTTATTGTAGTATTGTTTAAAGATGTTAATGTTGAGAATAATTATAATTTTGAATAAAATTTGAAATTTATTATTAAATTAAAAATTTTCATTTAATAGAACAAATGTTCATTTAATTGAAAAAATTTTCGTACAATTAACAATTTACCGTTTAATTAAAAATTTTCATTAAATTCAAACATTTATCATTCAATTAAAAAATTTACCTTTGAATTAAGAAATTGTCATTTAATTAAAAAATGTTCTATTTAATTAAAAAAATTTAATTTAATCGAAAAAATTTTTATCCAATTAAAAATGTTCAATTAATTTTCCATTTCATTAAAAAATTTTTAATCCAATTAAAAAAATTTCCATTTAATTAGAAAATTTCCATTCAACTAAAAATTTCCCATTTAATCAAGAATCTCCCATTAAATTAAAAATCTTTAATAATATATAAAAATTGAACTTGCTTCCACGTCATGAAATAATCAATTTCTTCAATTATTTATTAACTGAATTTTAATCAAGAAAACTTAACAGTTTCCCAATAAAATATATTATAAATCCATCATAAAAATAACTTGCAATTGACAAAAAACTCGACGAACTCTTAATAAAAAAGTTAATTTTTTCAATTAATTTTATATAAAAGATAGAAGACAATTTGTCATTATAGTGGTCGTAATACACCATTATTGATCTTATTGATACAATTGGTTGCTAATTACCTATTATCCTGCAGAAAATAGCGCCCCGCAGCCCATTAGCAAACCCATTATCCTGCACCGGCTCATTAACAAATAGGGCCCAATTTTCACCTTAAAAATTGGTTCCATTGTAAAAAATTTAAATTTTCCAGAATATTCCATTAATTTTAATATATAATTTTACCTTAAAAAATTGTTTCGTTATAAAAAATTTAAAATTGTCAAGAAAACCTATTAAATTTCTTTTAATATATAGTTTTATAACCCCATGCCCCATTGAACCCCAATTAGTGAACCCCATTAGCCACTTAGGGTAAATTGGTAGAACCTATTAATTGTATCGATAAAATTACCCTATTTCCGTACATAGAAAAAATTGGATAAATTGCACACCTAAAAATAGGCTTAGTGTATGAGATGGGGGAGGGAAAGAAAAGGGAAGGAGAAAGGGAGTGGGGAAAGAGAAAGGGGGAGAGGGAGTAGGAAGGCAGAGGAGAGGAGAAAGAGGGAGAGAAAGAATAAAAAATTTAATAATATTATATACAAAAAAACTTTGCTCTGAACACTTCGACTTAAAATGTTAGTATTTATCGTAGCCAAACATAACAAAATTTACGAGAAGTAATCTAGAACATTTGTAGATTTATACGAAACAATCTTGAACATCTCTAGATTACTTGAATAATTCAGAACATCTTTAGATTTATATAAATCTAGAAAATTTCTAGATTTATTTAAACAATCTAAAACATTTCTAGATTATTCTAAATAATCTAGAACATTTCTAAATTTTATTTAAATAATCTATAAAATCTCTAGATTTATCTAGATAATCTAGAACATTGGTAGATTATTTTAAAATAATCTAGAAAATAACATCTCTAGATTAATCTAAATAATCTAGAGAACATCTCTAGATTAATATAGATAATCTAAAACATTTATTCAGAAGCTTCCTATATGTCCTAGTGAACTCAGAATATAGCAAATGGTGCTCTTTTATATACCATCACCGTACATCACCACCACAAGATACCATCACCATCATCACCATCACCATCATCACCAACACTATCTAGAACATTTATTCAGAAGCTTTCTATATGTCCTAGTGAACTCAGAGTATAGCAAATGGTGCTCTTTTATATACCATCACCGTACATCACCACCACAAGATACCATCACCATCATCACCAACACCACCATATACCACCAACACCGCTACACCAACACAATATACCAACACCACCACCATATGCCATCACCACCACCTTTTCAACACTATATCTCATCACCACCACCACCATCGCGACCATATAGTACCACTTTACACCACCACCTCTTGCTACCACATAGCACCACCGCCACAATATATATAAACCACCATAACCGCCACAATATACCACTTTACACCACCACGGTGCAGTGGTGAGACTCCCGCACTTCGTGAGTCGGGCGTTCGAATCCCACGCAAAACAAGCAAGATTCACGGCCACTACCACCATCATCATCATCACCACACAATATTTACAGTCTATATACAATCAGAGATCATAAGTGCCGTATAGGGTAATATTAATAATATTAATGATATTGATTAATAATATTAATATTATTTATATTAACTAACATTATATATTGAACATATGGACAAAAAATTACTATGTCACATGGCAGCAAAAACAAATAGAAAATTTAATACAAAAAGTGGCGATAAGAACAAATTTTCTGGTTCACGTCGGTTCGCAGGGCTACGAAATTTAATCAAAAAATCCCAGCAGAACCTGGTATCTACACGGCGGGTTCTTAAATAGGTTCTCAGAGACCCAGGGTTCTCAAGGAGGTTCTCAGGGACCCAAGGGTTCTCAGGGACCCAGGGTTCTCAGAGACCCAGGGTTCTCAGAGACCCAGGGTTCTCAGGGACCCAGGGTTCTCAGAGCCCCAGAGTTCTCAGAGCCCCAGGGTTCTCAGGGATCCTGGCTTCTCAGGGACCCACGGTTGTCAGAGCCCCAAGGTTCTCAGGGACCCCGGGTTCTCAGGGACCCAGGGTTCTCAGGGACCCAGGGTTCTCAGGGACCCAGGGTTCTCAGGGACCCATGGTTCTCAGGGACCCAGGGTTCTCAGAGACCCAGGGTTCTCAGGGACCCAGGGTTCTCAGGGACCCAGGGTTCTCAG